ATCATGCGTTCGGAATTGTCTGTGGTGCCCCGCCATTGGTTGTTTTAAGTGAGGGGTGTTTTGTTTTCTTCAACCATCACTCGTTGGAGCACGATCGCTTGGGTTATGCAGCTGTCGGGATGCAGCACGCGCTGTTTGGATGTCTAAGAATATAGGAAATATTCGCACGTATAGTCACCAGCATGAGTTGTATGTAAAATAAGGGTGTGCGACTAGTGGCTCGATTCGAATAACGTAGTAACAATCGTGCAAGCGCTACGGACGCTACAAGCCAATGGGCCATTTCAAGCTGCCGCAAAGGCCCAAAGTCACGATGTTTTCGTTCTGTAATTCTACGCCTTTGTCAGCTACAACTGGTCCAATCTAAAACAAAGAATGCGTCGTGAATATAAGGTTTTAGTCCATGCATTTGGGTGCTTGTGTTGCCAGCAGCTCCTGGCCCAGCGTGGAGTTAAGGCCTTTTCAAGCATACGCGGCATCGCTAACGAAGAGATCTCGACAAAGCGCTAACTTCGCGCTATATCAACGCTGTAACATCGCTCCGAATCCTGTGACTCGCCCTTTGTTGTTTTGTTTCTTGCACACTCTACGCAACGCTGACAGTAGTACTGACGCAGCGGTCATTTGGCGTTGTTTGAGCGATGAGATGCATATGTGAACCGGTCTTTAAGACGAAACGGAGTACAATGTAAGGCAGATTTATACCTCGTCGTTCGCTGGGGACCGTCCGATTTGCCCTCTGCGATCATTCGCAGCAGAGAAAACCCGCGAAGCTCTTTGGCAATCCCGTTCCGTGTTTGTTTTTGATTTGTCGCTTCACCGACAGAACTTCTGTGATGTTGGAGCTGCAAACCCGGGCCGGCAGCGAAGCACCATTTCCAACCGTGACAGGTGAGGAGGACGAGAGTTTAGTCGCTTTTTGATCAGCGCGAAAAACTGTACTAATATAGACCCATTCACCGCTAAGCTGTCGGCGTGGTGGTAGCTAAACGTGCTCGTCAAACAAATTAATCCCCCCCCCCCCCCCCCCCCCCCGCCTTTGTATCGCATGACCCCACTCTCTGCGCGCGAGTATTCGGAGAGAGTATGATCACGTGAGTGCAAGGCTGACTGTTGCATAGCCTCCTATATACTGACAAAGCCTGGCAGATCGCCACGAGAAGCGGCCGCCGAAATTGAAAAGGTGGAGCGGCAGGGCAACGGATGAGAGGAGAGCCACGTGACTGGCGCCCCGCTGCGGCGAGACGCCGAAGCATACTTCCCCCGAGCGAACAAGTGTGTTTCGGCTCCTCGCCGCTGCAAAAGCTGTGCACTGACGTCCAGGTTCTTCGAGAAATGGCCCTTTGATGGACTGTGCTACCAGATCCTCGCGCTCCAAATCTGCGAGCGGGCACTCTAAGGCTCAGTCGTTGAACTGCCAGGCTTTCTGAGTATAGAGGAGGCTATGACTGTTGATTCGTTCATAATCCAATGCACTCCAAGAGATCTGGTGCGTCTCCTGTACCGCAAAGCACCTGGGGAAGCCAACCGCTGGAACCTAAACATAGTTCTAGAACAAGAAGTTTGGGCGCAAACGAGCTGGTGAAGGTTGTGGGATCTTTCCACCTATACGCCCGATTCGCAGAGCCGTCCAAGTGACGCAGACAGCACTTTCACGTCTTGGGAACGAGGGCGAGTTTATATGTCTAGCTCTCGCGTTCCACTCTTAAACGCGAAGCTTAAGCGTCTTCCTGTAATTTTTTCCCCAGTTTCCAGTTTCGTCATTGGCCGACACTCCGTCCGTAGATTGCAGCGATTGGTTCTTCCAAGTGCTTTGTGTGAAAGTATACAGATCAGAGTTCTTAAAGGGTACACCTTGCACCGCCCTGACAGCTTAAAGGTGAACCTCCGTCAACCATTGCGTGACCCTTCCAACCTTACAAAAACCTGTGATCGGTAAGAAAAAAGAAAGCAGTTCAAATTAAGAGAAAAATACACGTGATAAACGAGACTAACAGGTCTCCACCCAAAAACAAACAAACAAACTATATTCTTTTTTTTTTTCTTAGAAGACAACGAGGAAAGAATATCGAACAACTCGTGAACATTCCTTTCGTTTTACGGATTACCCTTGTTTCTTAGACTTTTATTCGCATCATTTGCGGGTTGAAAAGTGTTGCCTTACAAGGGCAAAATAGACCTATATCACACCACGTCGCACTTTTCGATGTGCTGCAGGTCCATTTTACGCAGATTGCGCTTTTTTTTTTTTGCGTTCGTTTCGAGTTGGAAATGACTTCCTGATTTGTTGCGTCTTTCGCGATTATGTGTGTTGTTGATTCAGGGCACAACTACGATACTTCCTTCCAGACTAAATCCTACCGCAGCCAAACGCTGCGATCCACCGGACCCAATCAAGCAGCGCCAAGAGAGCGTAGCGTTGACTGCGGTAGGATTTAGTGTGAAACGGAGTGTAAGAAGATGGTGTACTATAAGGAAGGTTCGTTTGTTTACCTACGCTTTCCTGCAGTGCACCTGTAGAGCCAGTCACCGCTATCTACGCAGGGAAGGAACTCGGTGAATGACGAAGCCGAAAGTATTTGTCTAAACCTAAAAGTCAAGTCTGTGATCCGGTTCTGGCAATAAATGCGGTGATCAGCACGATGAACGTACACCTTAGCACAAAACGAACATTATACTAAATTTAATGGGTTTGAGAATTGACCGGCCACCATATTTAAGTGCACTTTGTAGGATGCTACGACCGGCAGTCTTGATGGTGCGGGGCCGCGCGGAATCAGCTATGGCCGCCAGTGAAAGTACTCCCTATTAGCGGCGAGTTGTTTTGGTGGCGCCCTCCTATGGTTCGCTGTCGTGACGTCATTACCTTGGGAACAAGTTTTGTAGTGTTTGTAATGAGCATGATGAAAACTTGAAATCATTGCGCCCTCAAGACAATGCTGCCAACACCGTCAAAATTAAAGTTCTTAGATTCCTCTTATCTCCGTCGACGAGAAATCCTTTGCTGACGTCAAAGTCAGCATTCGGCCAATCGTGACAGGCCGACCACAGCGGCGCTTTCGATCGCGCACGTCGCCAATAGTCAGTGACAGGCTAAGAAATAAGTGGAAGATCCCCCCACCCTTTTCCAGTTTAGCTGAGCGAACGCTGGAGAGTAGGCGACCTCCTCTCCAACGTTCGCTCTGCTAAAGTGGAAAGAGGTGGGAGGAGCTTTTGCTGGACATCGGAATCGAGTCCTTGTAATACACTCGAGGTTGCAAACTTAAGCGGATTTGGTTTGTCACCAGGGTCAACATCGCTCTAAAGAACAGTCGAGAGTTCCAGGACGCCTTCAAGTGTCCGGCCAAGATGTCCATGAACCCGGGCCGCAAGTGCCACTTGTGGAGCCCCTAGACCCGCTGCCCTCCTCCCGCCAGATCCAGTTTCCTCTGGCTATACACAAGGTCCCTCGCCCTTCCGCGCACCAGGCTCTGCTCGAACCACTCGCGTGCCTCCCCTATTTCAACTTTTATAAAATTTCTGCCTTTCTTTTATTCATTTTCGGGTCAATTTTGTTGTGAGCCGTGGCCATCGAAAACCGTGTGCGTAAGACAAGGTCTGTTATATCTTTGTTAGTCATTGTAGACTTGCATCGTCTTCGTTCGTTTGCGAAGTCGATTTGGATCCCTTTAATCATTTTGGATTTTGGGGGCAATTATCATTTTGACGTGTCAGTGTTTTGCTGGAGCCTGTTTTGGACCGTTGCGTTCAGAACGATCTAAAACGACAGCAGCGATGAATTCACCGGTACAACTGTTGGCCGTACACAGTGGGGCAAAGAACGCATGAGTCACGGTTGTGCAGGTGTTCCGGTCGTCCCATTGTTTTGGTTTCTTTGAACGCGTAAGCACCAGCCTTGATATTCATCTTAAGTGAGCGCGAGCCTGATACTGTCGCCTAGTACTGACGAAAGACTGAATTGTTTAACTTGTCGACCACCGCTCTGGAGGGGCCATAAGTATCACTCGGTCGCCGCTCCGTTGTTTGCACTTTGTTTGGCCACGACTGCTCTGGGAACACTACTGATTTAGTACCACCGACAAGAAGGACTATAATAAATAATAATAAATAAATTGTTACAACAATTTATTTACTATACAACTACGTTCAGAACAGTGGTGCAGCATCTTAACGTGCCATTGTTGATAGAGACACTCCGATGGCACGAATGCACACCTTCCCCAATATTTGGACGCGCTGTAAGTTTTGCTAGTTGAAGTGCGTATACCCGAGAGCTCTGAAGGTGCATCAAACGACGCTTTCTTCTTCTGTCACTAGGGGAAGAGTAAGCGTTAAGAATTTGAAGAGTGACGCCATGAAAAAGCTTAACCTTTCTATATGTATGTATACCAGCTGAGATTAAACAACCGCATCTCCACGTGGTGAATGATGTTGATTGGGGCGATGCTCTGGTGGTGCTTGTCTGCGTAGACGCTGAGCCGCAGCATGCCGAGCCTTTCGTTCATTTTCATCCATGTCACGCTGCGGTCAAATGCTCAAATGCGTATATAACCACGTTCCATACCACACATTCTCTTTCTGACATGGATGAAAACGAACGAAAGGCTCGGCATGCTGCGGCTCACCGTCTATGCAGACAAGCACCGCCAGAGCTTCGCCCCAATCAACATCATTCACCACGTGGAGATGCGTTTTTTTTTTTTGCCCTACACGAGCACGGGAGCACGTGCTCACGTGCTCGTGAGCACGAGCACCCGACGCTGGACATCGGACGGACATACGGACATGGCTAGCGCCTAAGGAGCTTCGCCCCTAAAACAATAGCTAGGTGGGGTAAGCTGGCGCCTTGTTCAAAAGGTCCGTAGCTATATCCATCCATCCATCCCAATCAACCAAAGAGCAAATTCGCAAGTTGTAGATTTTTTAATGTATGTCACCCCATTTGCAATTGACTCTATATATTGAAAATCGCCACGGTGTAGGCACAAATAAGAGATGACTGAACGACATAAACATTCTATCTTTATTGCCGCGCCTTGCTAAAAACAAATCGTCGGATCACTCGACGGTGCCCGTCCCATAAACTTCCAACTCGGCCTTTCCATTCAGCCGTCCCACACAAATTGTTCTAAAAGTTTTTATTTCTAAGGCAGTGCTCATCACCCTGTTTATGCCGGCTTTTTGAAATGCTAACATCCTGAATGTTTATCATCTCGTAAAGTACACCACAAAATTTGAAATAGATTCACGTAGGAATGTGTGAGATTACTCAGTGGAAGGTGCCCCCGTGTTCCAAAATCCCCCGATCGAACAGACATACATATATATATATATTAAGACGAAACGCTAAAAACACTTAACGGTTCAAAATAGCTGCCTCTGAAGCGTTTGTGGCTCTGTAACGTTTCCTCCGTTCACTGCTGGTGGCTGCTCAGTTCTTGGGGATCTTGAAGCTCTTGGACTTCTTGTGGGCCTTGGTGGTCGTCGTGGCCTCGGTGGTGGTCGACTCCGTTTCATTCGGAGGGTTGATTCTCAGCTGCAAGGATCAAATTGCACCGAGCTTTACTTCGGCGCTCGCCACTTCTACTGATCCGCAGACTTGTACTGTACGTAACGCGTTGGTTCTACCTAGAGCCACTAAATAAGCTACGCTTTAAACTAACGTCACTTAGCCATCTTGGTGCTTAAAATCATGGTGGCCAGTTATCTGCAGCTTTATCTGAAATCGAGGAAACGCTATATCACCCGAGCTTGTTAACACCGCATCTTAAGCTGAGGATGACCATTTTTTTAATTCCGGCGATCGACAGTTGCGTCTGCTCTGCACAAAGCACCAAGATGGCGGCGCCTACTAGCAGGTCGGGGAATGAAGTGCCGATACTCTAAGCGTAGCTCATTTAGTAGCTATAATGGTGCCTGGATGTTTTTCTCTTACAATGCAACGACTTAGTTTCTTTTTCCGAAAATAAACACGTAGCGTATTTTTTAAAACTTTTTGACGAATTAACCAGTAATCTCCAGTGATGTGATTGCTGCGCCAATTGCGCCAAACTGCGCCAAGGGGCTAACCCTGCTACATCCTGCTACATTTTGCCAAGATATGGGTAATCTGCGCCAAGCCTGCGCCAAAGGACCAATTTTTGTCGCCTTTATATACCGAAACTAAACTGAGTACCGTAATCGAGCACGCGGTGAGCTAGGTGGCGCAAGCGGCCGCCCGACACAAAGTACCCTTCACCAATCGTTCATCCGGTCTTGCACGGTTTTCCCGTCATGTCTCGTTCCGCGTCCCCATCGTCTCGCGTTTTTAAAATTTTTTATTATTATTTTTTTTTAACGATAGACGCGGGCGTGTGCGGTGCTCCGACGCTAACATGCTAGTGTACCAGGCATGTCGTCATGCTATGAAACGAAACCACGTTTTTGCGCGGCGGGAGTTCCTTAGTGAGCTGAAGCACTTGCTCCTGAAAGCAACGGCCATGGGAAAACTATATTTGGTTCCTGCCTGCCAGTCACCGTGGTCGCGCGACGTCGGGTGTTGCCGTCCCCACGTCGCTGCAGATATGCCGCTTTCTAAAATGAAACTAAATACCGCCGCATGTTCATCAACATTCCTGTTCTTATTTAATACGCTACTAAAAAAAATCCCTTTTTAGCTCAAAGACTTCTGTGTCGAAATACTGATTACCTAGGTTTTTCTCGGCGGGTTTTCTTTCGGAAGGGACTCCGGTGCGTGAAACATCTGCCGCTAAAGAAAGTTGGTGAAGGGAAGTGATCCAAAGAAAAGAATGCAATGTCTACAGGCTGAACCCGCTCAGCGCGCTTGTTTGTCTCGAGTTCAGTCGTTGCACGAAGCGCTCCAAGAACTTTTTCACCCTGGCTCGTGATGTCTTGCATCGATGTGCTCAGGTTATTTTCTTTTTTTTTCTGTGTGTTTAGCTTGTACCTTGCCTGCCGGCCTGCCAAGCACGTGCTGCTGGACTGTTTTTAGAGCGCAGCTCTTAGGGGCCCGTTTCCGGCTTGAGCGGCGTCGGCGTCGGCGTAACCGCGCGGTGCATCATGGGTAAATTTTCCCGCTAGATCTAGCGGAAAAATTTCTCCGCTAAATCTAGCGGAAAAACCCCGCTAAATCTAGCGGAAAATATTCCCCGCTAAATCTAGCGGAAAAATTTCCCCGCTAAATCTAGCGGAAACATTTCCCCGCTAGATTTAGCGGAAAAAATTCCCCGCTAAATCTAGCGGAAAATTTTTTCTGGGGGGTCACGTGACCCCCCGAGGTCACATGACCCCCCCCCCCCCCCCCCCCCCCCCCTGCCCCGAGAACAGGTGACCCTCAGTACACTTCCCTCCTCCTCCTCAAGAGCTGCGCTCCAATTCGGTGTTACAGGGAGCTGTAAACGGCTTTCATTTTTTGTCGTATGCTGGACAGTTACATTTTGCATGCAATTTTGGGAACCAGTTGGCGACGGAGCGGAGTGGCATGGTTTCGATTGAACAGGCCATCTCCGATCGTGCGACAATTTCGTATTGCACTGCAGTAGTTACGTCACGCGTTTCATCAGTTAGAGACTGCTTTAATTTATTTTATCACTAGTCAACCTAATGCTGTGCTATTTATACTGAGCTGGTCATTTTCAAATAAATGTTAATATGTGCAATTTGGCTTTTATTTACCTATAGCGAGTATATATATATACGTATCATTTAACTGAAGCATTGCAGAATGGGTCATGTCATTGGCATTTCAGTTACGTGTTTAGAGACTCCCAGGTGGTCTAACTGGACTATAATTTGTTTATTGCGGCGAGCAAAGTGTCCTTGGTTTGTCCAGCACTTGAAACAATTATTTTTTTTTTCTAAGAATACCTGCTCCAAAAGCCACTTTTGCTGCTCCAAAACACTGTTATAGCTGCTCCAAAAGCCAGTTTTGCTGCTCCAAAACACTGTTTTGGCTGCTCCAAAAGGTGCTCCAAAACGGCTTAGGCCAATCACATCACTGAATCTCGCAGTTCGTCACATCCCGGGGGGGGGGGGGGGGGGGGGGGGGCGACGAACATTTACAACACAAGCACTCAATCTAGTTCTCACCCCCAGCTCGCGCCTGTAATTTGCACGACGAGAATGCATTGAAAAAGTGCAAACGGGTATGGGATATCGTGATCGTTTCGCTGTAGCCGCTATTTTGTTATAACCGACTTCGTTATAACCGGTCTCGACAGTACCTTACTTTTCAGTAGCGTGGACATGGCTTCGTTTATGGCGTGCAAGTTCGTCTTCTCTTTGCGCAGCTCGCGAGTTTGTTTACCCACCAGACGCACCCACGTGCTTCTGTTTACCCCCAACCTCAACCAATGAGGGGACGCGCTTGGGATGTTGGCTTGGGTGTGCGCCGAGAAACTGAGGGTAAGGAGGAGACAAGACTGAGCGGGAAAGTCAGAACGCCGAGCCCTGGTTGGAATGATTGGTGGGAAGACCTAAAGCTAACTGTCTTTCTGTCCGCTGCACTCGTGGAAGACGTTAAAGGCCGACCTACAAAACGTTTTTTCGCAAGGTAGAAAAGTCTTTCTTGCCACCCTTTTCATTTTTTCCTCTCTCACTGCTAGCTTGACGGAGGGGGACTCCTTTTGTTGGGGCTGCATCTTGGGGCTTATCCAGCCCCAGGGTGCAGCAACAAAAGGATTCCCCCGCCGTCAAGATATCAGTGGCAAAGGGAAAGATCGGAGGGTGGCGAGAAGGCTTTTTTTTTACTTTGCGGAAAACCTTTTTGTATGTCGGGCTTGAAGCGCGAGACAGATGTGCGACAAAGCTATCCGTTCCAAAGTACGAACCATCGGAGAAATGGCTGCTCCGGCTCGCCGCACACGAATATTTGAGACACGTACTTCCGACGCCTCGTTCAGTTCGGCTCCGCCCAGTTGCGGTATCCCTACAAGGAGGCTTTACCACCGAATGGAGAGATAAATGTTAATGGCTATACCCTTCATAAGGGGCGGTAGCTTGCGCCACCTAGCCTTGAAACCAAAAATATTATTCCTTCTCTCGCCTTGTAGCCTAATGCCGCTTGATCGTGGTTTTCTGACTTTGAAACAAGCAAAATATGCAAATTATATTTAATTCAAGTGTGCGTGTTTGTGAAGATTTTACGTAATTTTTCGCTAAAAATTCCCTAATCACGATGGACCGCAGCGGACCTTACGTACGAGCAATCCCAGCGAACCGCGCACTGCGTATAGAAATCACGTGACTACGCACCCCTCGCATTGCTGTGTCTCTCCCAAAGGTCACGTGACACTCGCACGGCATTAGAATGGCTCGTAGCGTCCACTGCTGTCCACCGTAAGGTGACAGGCAGTATATTCGGGTCTCGACGCCCTCGATCGGTCCCAAGCTGCCGACTTGCTACGGATCCGCGAAATCAGCAGGCTCGTTTTGTGCACGCGGGAAAACTCCTTGGCGTCCGTTGCCTCGATGCAACGCTTACATCCGCTTCCCCGGTCCTCCTCCTCCCGATCGGGCTGATCTTCAAGTGACTACATGACGTTCGCGCCATCCGTGCTGCCATTGGCTGCGGCCGTCCGACAGTCGGACGGCTTGCTTCTGGTTGTACGAGCATTCGTGCACATTACACGCTTTACAAAGCCGCGCGCTCGTGCCCCATGTGGCTTTACAGATGTTTGTAAGATGAAGTATGTCGACAGTGTGAAATGCTTTCACTAAAGATGTCACGGTCATGTCGAGCTAGGATGCGAGTATTCCCGGCACCGCGGGGGCACGGCTCGAGCGAGAAGCGTGTGGACACGCGCGACGCGGAAGGGTGGACCTTGAGAAGACCTCACGACGCTGCTGGACGGGGAGGCGAAATCAACTTGGCAGCTCACCAACCCTCCGGCATCTGTCGCTTTCTAAACGTATTTTCGAATGCCTTTTTTTACTTTTTATTCTTTTTTTTTTCTGCACCGAAGGTTGAGACGATTACAGTAACAAAACATTGCATGCTTTAAAAACTGGAGTTCTGTCGTGGTGACACCTTCTACTACTGCCATAAAGTCATATTATTTGAAGCGGGTACATCAACTGCGTGCTACCAGCGCATTCTCTATAGAAAATTTAGGAGTCAGTGATGCAATTTCCCCTTGCTATTCTTGTGTGAAAAAAAAAAATATTGCGGAAAACATTGTCCTGGGGAGAATCGTATGAATTTCTTGAAGTTTATTTTTAGAAAACACTGGATGCTCGCTCAAAATGAAAAGAAATGAATCATTTAAGTTGTTCCCAATGAAAAACTTGGTTTTCTAGTCCTGCTTTAAACGAACCAGGAGAAAAAAAAAAATCGGCAGGCTCATTCAAAAGCTGCTTGATTCACAACTTTAGGAAAGTCTTAAGAAAAGAATAAGAACAAAACATAAGCAAACTGGACCAGCTCATCTCCAGGCAGATCGCACGTTCCTTCACCTGGCCAAACTTTCCTCTCCATGAACCTGCATCGTACACGGATATTTTTGTCTGTTTCTGGTCTTTTCTTTTTGTTTTGTTCAAGGGCAATGACAGCAGGCGATATTAGACGTACCAGGATGCGCTGCTTCTCCGCGCATGCGTACTCCGTCTCATCCACGTCGTTGTAGCAGTCCGACTTGTAGCCCTTGGGAAGGCCCTTGCCCTCAAACTCGCAGAGCTTCTCGACGGGCCGTGCCTTGACGATCATCTTATCGAGCGCGCGGGGCTTCTCCTGAGGGCAGTAGAAGACCTTTGGCGTGTTGACGTCGAACACGATGCTCTTGCGCATCATGTCAGCCAGGGCTGAGCAGGCCAGCTGTCGTGGAAAGGAATAAATGGGTGAATGGACGCTGCTAAACACTTTGAATCGGGCGGCGGCCTGCGCCACCTAGCCGAAGCTCTTAATCGCATCTTCTGGTATGCGCATTAAATCTACATGCGCTTGATTGCGACCGACTGATTTGTGGTCTGTTATGTCCCAATCCCACTAAAGCGACAAACTACTGACACCGACAATCCTAGCTCAACCTCGAACGCATACGGCATGTAGGTACGTGATGGTACTTTTGGCAAGCTTGCAGTCCCCAAGGGTACTGGTCAAGTAAGCGCGAGTGATTGCAAGCCTGCCAAGGGTACCTCCGCGTGTCTGCTGTACGCGTTTGAAGCTTGTCGGTGTCGGTTGTTTATGTTTGTCGCTTTCGTGGAACTAGGGCATTATGGGAGCTTATGACAAAATGCTTAAAATGCTTTTTGTAACAACCGAGTTCCGCGCAGAGCGTCTAGTGGTACGCAAGAAGTCATAATGCAGTCGCTCACACAAAAACGCAAATGTCTGAATTAGTCTTTTAGGGTTATGCAATTTAGTAACACTAACTCCATGCACGCCACTTGTCACATGTTATTAAAAAAAAATTAATTACCTTATCAACACCATGATGTAACGTCCCTAAAGTCACGGGTGGTAACCGCGGACCACAGGAAATGTTGTTAATACTGTCGACGGCCACGACAGCAGTGATAAGGCCAGCATAAATTTCTTTATCGTACATATATGCTGGTTTATTTCATGTTGATCGTTTGCTACCTAGTGATTGACGCAATGCACTGCACGACCGATCGGTTTGTTGGCCGGGCTAAAAGGGAGGTCACGTAAGCTAACATCATGGCGTTTCCATTACAATCGACCTTTTTCCAGTAACGAGCGCCGTCTGTGGAGTTGTCTTCGAACTACAAATGTAGGGTCATGGCCTCTGTTACGATGGGACTTCGTCGTCTTCATTTTTGCAATAGCCAAGACGCGCGGCCTCAGCACGGGCCACACCTCACGCACTGTTTCTGGTTGAGCTAGCGACATGTTCTCAGGGCTCGTAGCTCACCACCGATCTCTGCAGTCTTCTCTTGTAAATAATATTTAAATAGACCACCACTGAATAACCTCCGAGCCCCAGCGCGCGGAAATCTTGGAGGCCATGGTAGGGCAGCCGAACATGCCTTCGCCCGCCAGAATATACATTGGCATCATGCTGTTGTATTGATCCTCATTGCCTTTTATGACCCATAGCAGCGTATACTCAAACAAGAATGGCCAAAAAGACGAAATACGCGCAAAGGTAGGTGCCGAATATGTTAGTCGACCGGCACTTTGTCCTGCAAAAATGGCGACAGCGGGAAACCATGCCAGGAGAGGGGGCTTACGCATGCGCAGAAGCTTACTGTAAAAGGTCCATTTTGTTATCAGATGATGGCTACGAACACGTTATCAACCCCTCCATCACTGCAAGGCTCGGCAAAGTTTGTGTCAAGGTTTAGCCGTTGGCTGCCCTCGAGGTACCATGAGTCAGTGCAGAGTTTCGAGAAGGCACAAGGTAGACAGGTAAACTATCAGCATGTCTTGAGGAGAGTGATTAAGGAATAAAATATTGCCCAGAAACAGAAGGATGGTATGGCGATGTGGGGTCTAGACTGTGATGTTGCATGCGCTAATACAATACGTTTGAAGTCAAACTCACATTGTCCTTGGGAAACTGTGTGCTTGAGGCAAGCTATAATATCTTAGCGTATTGTTCGGAGCTCCGATTGTGGTGACGTTTGGGCAACGTAAAGAGCGCAAAACAAAGTTAATGCACTGGAGACTACGTCAGATAGATAAAGATTGACAAAACGAGTAAAATGGTAAACTATAATTAACACCAGACGTGCACGTTAAATGCCTTCAGAACAAACTCCTTTAAAGGGTCGCAAACCAGCGCACGCCGATAAGCGCAGCATCGTGAGCTAATTCGCCGATTCTTTAAAGGAGTCGTTCTGAAGGCCTTTAATGTGCCCGTCTGACAGCAGTTTTATTTTGGATTTAGTGTCTTGTCCATACTTCGTTCAATGTTAAATTCAAAGGTCTGGACAAAAACTCCAAAGAAAAAAAATAAAAACATGCTCACCAGACTCAGAACAATCAGGACCGTCGCCTTATCTGTGAAAAAAGCAAAAATAAACAGAAGAAAGCCTGAAAAAAACAGCGAAATATTTATAGCTACTCGTCAAGCTTTGCAGCGTGTGTGATGCAAGCTGCTTCTAAAGCATTTAGGAAATGCAATAAAATATAGACCTTTCCAGAAAAGGGCTGCTGGCCGGTTTCATTTCCAGTGTTCGTGCGTATCGCGCGTGATTTGCTCGCTTTCCGAAGCGACGCACACGCGCGTGCTGAGCTGTGGACTTGTAAACATTGGAAAGGTCTATACGCGGCGTCAACTCGTCCGTGCGACGTTGCTAAGGCTAGTATAATTTCCACAAGTGCTCTCACACTATCAAAGCTTGCGCAAGCGCGGGACTCGCTGAGCAGTGAGAAAACATTGCACATAAAAGTCGACCCCGAGTATAGTTGTCTATTACAACTAGGGCTCGGCGTCAATTAAAATTTTAGCCCAATTAATCGTTAACCTTAAATAAATTAGTCGGTTGCGTTCGACTTCAGGCCTAATAACTGAAAAAGTCAGAACTACATATTTTTCGTTTGCTTTGTCTTGCTATGTAATCAATGACGCAATGTACATGCTCATTTAAAACAAAACCCTGTGCCGCCATAAAAAAAAAAAAGGCAATCATTTTTAAAGGTGAAATATTTCAAGATTTTATATTAAGCCTTATATTCATCTTTGATGACACAATCATAGGGTACGCTAAACTGTTACTGTAAAATGCAACAGTGCATCCTGCTAATATTAATCCGTTCGTTTCAAGTAGTAAAGCCAGCATTTTTACTTTATCCTGGGAATTTGCATCTCAAACCGAACCGATTAATAAATAAATCACTGCGATTTAAAACGTTCATCGATTAAACCCTTGGCCGTTGGTGAGCACTTTAACCCTTGATGGTGACAGCAGGACCCGCGTTTGTGTGGACCGTTGCCAATATGGGCGGCGCTGCTGTTTTTACCGCAATTAGTTTGCGCCCACGCCTATTGTTTGTTTCGTCCGGCACCGAAGGTTACACCGAATTACGAGTGAGACGCAGATTTGTATCGGCAGTCGGGACCAGTCATTGTTGCCAGAGTAATTACGGACGGTGTGTCCGCCCCGTTCACCTTGGTTCAACAATGTATAGCCATTCTGTAGAAACGGAATGCGACTGAGGGGGAAGCTATTATCTTCTCGCTTCAAAGGCTACATATGTCCACGTCTCAAGCTATCATTGGTCAGTGCAGCGTGTTAAGAGTATCTATTTCAGACCTAAAATTGACAATGTTATTAATTTGATTTGTTACTTGATGGTATTGCTCCTAGACAAGCTTAGCAGCGACGCGTGCGTGCCAGCAATACATCCCTGTAAAATTGAGGTCTTGCGTGCCAAACCAATGATGGGCATCTGGCACGTCCCGGCGGAAGACTGGGGATTAATTTCGACCACCTGGGGATCTTTTGACGGGCAATCAAAATCTCGGATACACGGCATCTCTTCCGCGATAAATCTCCGTCAGATTAAGGGTACTTCGGTCGGAGTTCGAACCCGCCACCTTGGGATCTGTAGGCCGGAGCTTAGCCTCGGAGCCCTCGAGGCAGCATTTGCATGCATTCCGGTGCATGCTAAGATCAGAATGCGCAAGGATTGCACTTCCGCGTTAATGGTGTCAACGAATTCCTCGTTTTACGCAACTCTCCTGGTCGACCGGAGAAAAAAAAATTATAAATATAATTTTGCTCTGAATACACATTTTGAAAATGTCTCAAACAATACGGAATCCCCAAATCCTTTAGAATCCATAAACTACTTCGCAGACCTTCACGTGGTTCATTGAAGCTGATCACTTTACAGACATAATGCAGCAGTTCGGAGTTTTGTTCAGACGTTAATTGCGCTACGAACAATCACGTCCACTCGCCAATTATGCCACACCTCACCAGCCGCTGCCCACTCCCACAAAAACAAAAACCATAAATCTCGACCCCCTCGCACCGTGTCAGGGTCAGCCATTCTATTTATGACTTTAAGCATCGGTACGCTTCCTGGAGAAACCTGCTCCTATAAGATGTCTAAAGCGTTTCATCTCGACGAGTTTCAAAACATTCGAAGCAGATTCCAAATTAATCGCATGCAAAATAATGTCCCGAAGCTGTCAGAAAAAAATTCAAGGGCTAGTACTCGATTTCTTTTTTTTTTTTTTTTTCGTTCAAGAACGGCCATTCCTTGCAGACGGTGACCGCTAGGCCTAACGAGCCATCGTCTGCGTGCGAACCTTCGAGAAGACTGCATGTTTTCTCTCAAACCGTAGACGATGCCACGCAGCTTTCGATTTATACTACGCTCTCAAATAGGAAAGGTCAATACTCACGCATTTTGAAAAGTCTCGACGCCTTTCTAAGTTGTAGTTTCAAAGATGACTTCTCTTCGAAGAGCGAGCCTTTTCGAATCCGCAGGTACGTACGCTGGCAGACCAGCCGATGACGTGTGGCAGATTTGTTATGGTTGTGGGTCGCGCTGGTCCGCGCCTCGTTCCCTTCTTTCTCTCAATTCTAACTCTCTCGCCGAAACCTGTTCACGAAGAAAGAAGGGTCCGCTAAAGGAGAGGGAAGGCGGAGGTGTTGGGGGAAATGGCAGGGGAGAAGGTAGCGGTGTGGCGGGTTGAGGTACCCGCCGTCTGGAGAACGCGCATTCTTCCTGAGAATTCACCTGTGATTCCTGTTTTGTGGAGAGACACTACGCAGCGTTTCCCCCCTGAGCTGACAGTACAGTGGGGCCTACGCGATCGCCGGACCAATTGACCTCCTCCCTTTCATCACTTGACCCCTCCCTCCTCCGTGCGTAGGTATGGACGGGAGCATGATCACGTGACGAAAGGTAGACGTACGATTGGTCCAACGAGCACCTATCTTCCACCGCACTGTCAGCTTAGGGGAGAAAGGAGTATAAAGAAAATGTGGGCGGCTGAAATGCGGAAAGCTCGGTTCCGCTTGATACGTCGACGAGATTAGCTGGTGCACATTGAGTCCAGTTTGAAAGCAACAACCTGTAGCTATAAGGTCCGGCTACGGAATGCTTTAAACAAAACGTTAGGAATACGAGATAAAACATTCGTTACTTGACTGTCTGTTTTGACATGGAGGACCGTAGATACCGACGAGCAATTGTGTAATTGCTATGGACATAGACTAAATTTCGATCTACGAGACAGCAAATAAAAACATTTTTGTTACCTGTTTCTTGTTTTTGCATGCAGAAGTGAAGAGTGCCCTTGCACAAGTTTGATCGGTGCACATGCACAAGGTGCGTGAGCTCAGTGGCGCTTATGGATTTGAATCTATTGTCACAGAAAGTTGTCTGTAGGCATAATACTAAGACTGCATGGGCGTCGATTCAAACTTTTAGCTAGGGCTGGACGTCTTTTAGAATTTTTCGCCTGATTAATCGGTTTCGTTCATTCCTATACATATTTTTATTATTCAAAATAAAATTGTTTGCTTTTACTGAACACGTGATAAACGACGCAATGTACAATTTCGGTATTTAAATCAACCTTGATGTGTAGTTTAGAAGAGTCAAAAGACACTCACACTCAGAAATTACTTCAGTCGCAGAGGCAAAAAGGTTCGTCAATAGCAAACTCCTTTGAGTGTTCGCATTAGTCTCAGCTGCTCTAAATGGACACTTGAACGGCGTTGAAGTGACCGGGGCACATTTAACCTTCTGCACTGTCTGGAGTTACAAATCCCGCCTCTACAGTTTGCGTTAGGCCAAACTTTCACCTAAATTTTGCCTTTTATAGAGGTGCGTAAATGCGTGTAATTTTTAGTTCCTTTTGGTTTGTCAGAACTTTACCGATTAACCGTTTAAAAAATTATTCGCGATTATAGAATTATGTGATTAATCAGTATGTTAATCGAGTACCCTATGCGAAATTGTTCGAACGTCTGGCAACGCTCTGTGCGCTGCCATCTTTGTTGCGGCAAGATTCTTCTGCTGTCTGTAAATTTGGTAGCGTTGTCGGCAACAATCGAGGCCTATACTGGTCACCGTCATCGATCCTCGCCCACACCTGCGAGCCAAGGGATAGTATTGTTTTACGCTCTTCTTGCGCATGTACGTACTCGTCGCCCCGCCGGTCGCTGGTTTTTCGCCGCCACCAACATGGCGGACGTGCACTTCAGCTCGAAATTTGGCTTTGAGTGCCGGCAAAGGCACGGGCGCGGGTGCCTGATTTTCGAAAGCGCTTTCTCTGCGCAAGTGCTTGTGCGAGCGAAGGATTCATCAGAACCACGCTTCCGCGCCCTGGCCTTTGCTAGTGCCGAAGCCGATTAGAGAGACCATGGCCTCCGAGATCCCGAAGCGCGCGAACTCGCGCGCGCTTCGGGACCTCGGAGGCCATGGAGCATGTTTTTCGGCGCCCCACTAGAGGGCGCTTTGAATTTCGCATATTGTGTATCTGCCCAGTATAATACACTTATTCACTCGTTTTCACCATCGAAGTGGCGAAGTTTTTTGGGACATCAAGGCAATGGCTATGTTAAATTTGCGGCTGTTTTGCTAGTTTATGCCAGTTTGTTTGTTTTCTTAAGATGTTTTATCGAGCTGTACACCCCGCCCCCCTTTCCCCCCTCCCCCTTCTCCTGCATTGCCGAATAGGCTTCTGAAGTACTTTGAATGAATGAATAAATAAATAAGTAAATTACTAAATAAATTAAAAAAAAATTGAAACATGTATGTTCAAGTTTTATTTCCGTTTGTAACAGAGTTTGTTACGAGAACATCCGAGAGAAACATATACGGTGCGGATCTGCAGATCATGTTGGAAACACCTTGTGAAAACCTGAAGGGCAAAGTCGAACTTAAAAAAAAAAATTAAACATGAGGAAGATACATAGAAATGGGAACGGACAACGAAGACTTCCAAGTCTTCGCCTTCGTTGTCCGTCCCCCCTTTCTATGTATCTTCCTCAAGTTTAATTACTGTTACCAACACGTTCGTTTTGTACTTAAAAAGAAAAAAAGTTACCTGTAACCCGTTCTTGAAAAAAAGAAAAAAGAAAAAGAGAGTTACAGGTGAATTCTAGAGTATTTTTATCTCGTAAATATCAGTATCACGTTCGTTTTCCCTCAAGGAGTAACTAAACGCGAGAAAACACGAAAAACCTCCGACGAGTTCTTACGTCATATCCAGATATTTTGGCCGCCAAGCGCGTGTCGCTCGTATGGACAGCGCGTGCAATTGCAGGCTTGCCAGGTATAGGCGTTTCCACTGTTTACAGAAATCACAGTACACACGTGCTAAATCACAGTTCAGCCAGCCAGAGAGTGGGCGTGTATGACACACAATGGCACAGCAATGAACGCGCCCTAGACCTTCTTGAAAATAGCAAGAGTTCCCGTTTCCCACTTTGATAGGCGCCGAAGATGCGCGACAGCGGAGATACCAAAAACTTCCAATATGACGTCACGCTCCGGAAAGGAGGAGTTTCAGCTCTACTTAAAAAATAATTTTCTGTAACCTCCGTGCACCAAAATTGAAAAAAAAAAAAGATATTTGCGATTATGGAGTTTAAATGAAGACGATTTAGGTGTTTCTCCTCAAATACAGGACCGCTTCAGTTTCTTTTCACATTCAAACTTTTTTTTTTTTATTTTTGTAGAAAATCAGCACACACAGTTTTCGTCTAGTAATCTTTAATGCGCTGAACGTTCAACCGCAGCACAAGAAATACCATTCGGAAAGCGTACTTTGGCGGCTTTAAGAAAAAGCAAGTCCAGGTTGTCCCGTAACACATTCGGAACCTTTCTACGAGGTCTCATTCGGTCTTCCCAGGATTTATAAAGACGCAAGGTGACTCTTGGTTCTTGATAGCCAGAATGAATAATCATTAAAACATACATAGATCAATTTTATATCGTCGCTTTCTTCCGGCGGTGCCAGTATACTATTAAGAATCTCGTTCCGAATTGCCTGGAAGAACAGAAACAAACAAAATAACATTGAGTCGATTTCATTCAGCAAAAACGTGTAGTAACACCCTTAGTACGTTAAGCGGCGAGACGCCGAAACAGACTTCTCACGAGCGAACCATGGCCATGGCGAACAAGCGTGTTTCGGATCATCGCCGCTGCAAAAGCTGTGCGCTGACGTCCAGGTTCCCCGAAAAATGCCTCTTTGACGCTCTGTGCTACCAGACCCTCGCGCTCCAAATCTGTGACCGGGCACTCTATGGCTCCGTCGTCGAACTGCCAGGCTTTGTGAATATAGAGGAGTCTATGCCTCAACCTAATATCAAAAAACACTATGATAAGGCACTTTCGTAGTAATGATGCTAGATATTACAATTCGCGTGAGAAAAGCACCTCTTCACAACCGCGCGCGCGCGCGCGCCTGCCGCTTTATTGATCGAAAGCTAAAGAATTGATCAAATATTTTTCTCTTTACTTACGCTAGCTGTCAGATAAGCGCTGCTTGGTTATCTCTACTTTCCCCACGTCTACCATTCCAAGCTAGAATGAATTTCTTTACAGTAAGCTGAATAAAATATTCAATGCCCCCCCCCCCCCCCCCGCCCCCAAAACTTACCCACACGCACGCTCGGCGTGCCGTGTTTACACTCTGGTAAATAGATGGATAAATGTAGATGTCTGAACCCTTTTAATCGGGGCGTGTTGGATAGCCGGTGTTCAAAGACGACGAAGCGCATAGCGAGCGGGAGCTCTGGATCTCGTGCTGGACTTCGGGCTGACTCAAGACGCATCACTTCATCTCATTTTATGTACATACCTGAGTAAACCCCCTACTACAAAAGAGGGCGTTTTGCGCCACCTAGAGAGTGCTTAACATTTCAGACCTTTAAAGGGATGGTGAACCGAAATTTGGATTTAAAAAAAAAAAAAAAATGCTGCAGATGTAGGCGGGACGCTACAATCCCTACAACACTACTAGTAAGGTGATATCTCAAATGGACGGCCGTATTTTTCGAAAAAGAAGTCGAGATTGAACCAGGCCGACGAGGCGCGTGACCGTCAAGATACCTAGTTTCCTCCTCTCTTCACTTCGCTCCCTCAAGGCCGCGAGGCGGAGATGACGCGAGGGCGTTCCCTCTCCCTCTCGGAGAAACATGACGTCAACATTCCTGCCAAATGCGCCTCTTTTTCTTTCTTAAATACGGTCATCCGTTCGAGATATCGCTGTATGAGTGATGTTTTGGTGTTTGTAGCATCACGTCGCACGCTTTTGCCGCGTGTTTTGTGGAATCCAGATTTCGGTTCAGCATCCCTTTAACACTTAACGCGTCATCTACCTGACTAAAGTTCAAATAGCCGCGCTTCAAAAGCTAGTCTAGCCACCATGAACGAAGGAAGCTTTATTAAGGCATCCGTCTGACAATTATGGGTACGCCCAACAAGGCCTAACTTTTAGAAAATCTACAGTATATATGCATATCAGAACCAAGATGGCGGCACCCAGAGGCAGTACTTGTATTCGAGAGCTAGTCTGGCCACCGTGAGCGGAACGTTCTGTTGACGGCCCCAGGCTGGCAAGTACAGGCATGCCTCAGCAAGACTCGACCATCAAACGATCTGAGCGCGCCAGAAACAAGATGGCGGCGCCCAGAGGTCATACTCGCCAAAGTGCACACAGATAGATAGAATAGGTTAGACGTGTGTGTGGTCGGGGTCCTTACTCAGAGTCGCCTCCGCCTAGCTATGGAGATTTGTCTGCGCTTGCGGACCGAGCTGGGCAGCAGGCTGTCAAGGAGCCGACTCGATTTGCGGGTGAACCGGGCTAAAAAGAAGGCGAGAGAGAGGAGACAACGGGTCAGTGGATGCCGCCTTCCGCACTCCGCCTTCTTTTTATCGCTGCGCGCTCTAGGCCGATGCATGCTGTATGCGGAGGGCAAGTCGTCTGCTTCTTGCGTGGGAGTGGCAGTGACGTCAAAACGATGCCGAGCTCTCATTGGATTTGATTGAAACGATAGTGGGTAGACCTAAACGCCAGATGCCTTGAGGTCTACGCATTTTTTTTTTTTTTCAATCAGCAAATTGGAGTTCGGCGTTCTGACATCCCGCAACCCCTTTGCAAGAAGCAGACGAACTTGCGCTCCGTATAGACGCTTTCAGGCAGCTGTGCATGGGCGCCGCCATAACTGACCTTCTGTTTTTGTTCTCTATTATTCCGTTCGCCCCACTTCCTCATTACCACAGTAGGACCGGTTATTACCATTTTAAATGTTACTGTGTCCTTCTCCCCAGCATAGGCCCTTGTGGAGGCTCGTCAACGCCCGCTTCAGTGGCTCGGCATCTCGGTAAGACAAGAGAAGGTCGGCAATGGCGGCTCAATCTGGCGCGCGCTGAAAGCGTCTATAAGGTTTCACCGATAGAAAGAGGTACCTGCGCGATCAACGCTATTGCGGAATTGCTTCGAAGCTGTTAAGCCCATAAACTTGCCGTCATGGTTTGAGAACTACTATCCTTTCATAAACCCCCGATGCCTTCTATTGGGTCTAAGCGAGGAGGTTTAGCGAACCGCCCTTGTACTGCTGGAATGCCGAGTAAGTAAAATGAGTAAATCAATAAATCGATGAATAATGCAATAGCTCTAGTCTTAAGCTTTTGTACCACTCACGGCACTTCAATATTAAATTTGAATTTCGAATAAATACCAGCAGGAATTCAGGTTCATATGATCGTGCACAGCGACCAACGGAAAAGGGGCAATCTGCCACCCGCTTTGTTTTTTCATGAGGTGTCACGCGTGAGGAGGAGCCACCTGGTCGCGCGCTCCTACATTTCGCCGCCATTAACTCAACAGAAGCAAATAAATTAAAAATCTTTCGAGACGGTATTTGGTGACACCCTCAGACCAACACACGCCAGGAGCCTCCCACCAATTAAACTGCCTTATCCCAGCTTTTTTTTTTTTTTTTTTTAACGTGAAATTTGTTTGTGGCGAGAATAACTTGGTACAAACGCAATACGTAAAAGTAAGAGGCAGAAGTGAAACCCAAAAACGATACAAAAGAAAAAGAGCATTGCGACCGAGGGAACATAATGCACACGGGAAGTTGCCCTCTGACACTTCTGAAGTAAAGAACAAAAAATCGATTTTGCCTGCGTATCCTAATTGCTGTAAAGAAAAAAAAAAGATAAAGATTGACATTTTTGCTACCCCTCAACTCACTCCCAGCCTTCAGGGTCACACCTAGTCCCTCTCTTAGTGACGTAACTCAGGGTGCCACGTAGCTTCCCATGTGCTCTCCTCGGAGGGAACTTCCTCTTTCTCTCTCTGCTGATATTAGCGGGCGTCGAGCTGTAGCTTAGAGCCGAGCGAGGTCATGTAATTTTTTTAATCTTAAAATCGTTGCACCTCCCCCCCCCCCCCCCCCCCCCCTTTAAGCGATCAAGTGACCATATAGACCTTTCCGAAAATCGCCTGCTGCGCGCTGCCATCTTTGTCTGCTGAGCTGTGGAACGCCTTCTGAGCTTGCGTTGTAGCTCCGTTGTGCGTCATATCAGACGCTGCGCATGCGTCCACAGCTCAGTGACTCAGCATTTTTCGCCCGGGTGATAAGCGCTTGAAAGGTCTATATGCAGAGCTAAAGCTGCTCTCGTCGAAAGTCGCAGTATACGAGTCTAGGTGCATAAACGATCGCATCAAAATTCACCAACCCCCCCCCCCCCCCCCCCCCCCCCCGACACCGTGCCGTGGTGCAAATCAATCGGTACCAGAAGTGATCACGCACTTGTGAATGCGCCCTGGCCCTGCACTTTTTTAATTTTTTTATGCGTAACTGGTTTAGTCGGCGAGAGTAGAGTCACAAAGACAACGAGCGTCGCCGTGACGACGCAGATTTAACGCCGCTTGAATGGCCCCATGGGATCGCAGCATCGGCGGCTGCAGCTAGTCCAACTTAACGTGAAAGAGACTCTGCCATCTTTGTCTGCTGGGCTTTAGAACGCCTTCTGAGCATGCGCAGTTGCTCTGCTGGGCGGCATATCAGACGCTGCGCATGCGTCCACAGCTCAGTGACTCAACATTTTTCGCCCGGGTGATAAGCTCCGTAAAGGTCTATAGACGTTTGCAAGCAGCCGCGCTTCAACAGATTAGTCTGGCCACCGTAGATGGAAAACGCTTTGTTTGGGTGCCAGTCTGGAAACCGATGCCACGCCTCAGCAATGCTTGACTATCAGACGATCTACCCACACCAGCAGCGAAATGGTAGCGCCCAGAGGCCGTACTTGCAAACGTCTATAGGCATGACGATTCTGTCAGGTATATGAACAAAATATACCACCGCAATTTGTTTCTTTCTTTCTTTGAATCTCACCTACAACAGAGAACTCCTTGGAGTTGGGAAGGTTGATGGCGACGCAGGCTCCCAGCGCGCTTCGGTTAATGTTCATGTCCGTGACGCGACGCCAGGAATTGAGCTTGGCGTCGTAGCACTCGACGAAGGGGACCGTGGTGGTGCCTGGGTGAAATGCTCCTTGATTACCGTAAGGTACACGCCTCCATGAAGCACTAAACCACCTAGAAAACAAGGCCGGCGACTCTCTCTCTCTCTCACCTTCCCCCCCTCCCCCCTTCCCGAACGTCACCACCAGTAAACCCACACAGACCCGTTTAGTTTGCGTCATCATCGCCGCCGACGCATCTTACAGCGTCTCACAATAAGAGCGACGCTAGCACGTGGAGAGATCATGACGGGCGTTGCGGCGTCTGTCGTGGAGCTTCAACGCGCCTCCGCTTGGGGCGGGTCGATGATACACGAACGATGACGTCATGCGCAGGACTTCTCGTCAAGGTGGCATAAGGACAGCGTGTTGTGTTCGAGAAAAAGTCCGAAAACACCGAAGCACTTCTTATGAGTTGTGAATGCGAAAGCGTGAATGTCGTTCTTACGGTTTCTTAGTTCGTCTGCGGCATAGTTGCGTGGACGGCCACGTTTCGGTACTGCCGAGGGAGCAGCCGACGATCGAGCGCGCGCTCTCGTGAAGTAGCCGCGCAGCGCTGAGCTCGGCCGTACAACCTCTCCGGAGTTTGTCCGGGCGGGCTCTGCCGGTACCACTCCCTCTCACCGGCGGGCGGACGCTGCGTGCGCTGCGCCGCCATCGAGAGGGCTTCTCTAGTGGCGGTTTGTGGAACTACGCCGCACGAGAGCGAATGGGAGCCTGGTTCCTTGATGACGCGCGCCAGTCAATGGGAGCCTGTCCATCAGAAATCGGCTTCACTTCAGGGGAATTTAGGTGCCGTTCGGTCCGGAGCCTCAAAGCTCTTGCCGTCGGTTCGCTCCATGGTACAGTTGATGCTCTCGCATTCAAAAGTTGACATCGCGAAGACGCTGTTTGGGACTGGTATTATGAGGGCTTCGGCCTCTTCATCCCGACTAGTCGCTTCAGTGTTTCGAATCTTACTTCCCGCGTCAATGATCTCGTTATTGCTGGCGGCAACTCTTTATGTGCCCACCGCGAATAGAAGACTTTGAACGAAGCTGCCCTCGGTAGGGTGCCTGGAACGAGTCTTCCGACAGGTCTGTTCAGTGTCCTATATGCCGCCCTTATATCAAAAGTGCATGGTTACCCAAAGTGGAAACAGATGACGTCACAGAGGCCGGCCTGACGCGTTGTCGGTTTTCGCGATCCTGACGGTCGGTGCAAGAAGAAGAGCGAGCGACCTGCTGCAGAACGGGCGTTTACCACATCCACCACTGCTGCTGTAATACCGCCAGGATTGCGGCCTACGACAGCATTGCACTTCTGTGACGTCATTAGACGGAAAGGGGGGGACCACTCTTCGGGATGCGGTAAACAGAACAGTCGGAGACCCGTTTCAGGCAGCGTACACTTGGGGATGTCGGCGTAATGCGAATTCTATTCGCATCAGTGGCAGGCACGTAGCCAGGGGGAGCATGGGGCCCGGACCCCCCCTGATATCTTCCATTTTGCTGGGACCTCCTCTCGCCCCTCTCCCTCAAGCAGCACTTCGTCATGGGCGCCCCCTCCCCCCCGAATCAAAATCCTGGCTACATGCCTGACCAGTAGATATCCATTTCACTAGAATATACATGTTTCCAAGCACCCATTCTTCAAAAGACAGTCAGGTACCCGTGGGCATGCATTAGCAAGGCATGCTCACGGTTAGGAAAAGATGGAAAGGAACCATCGTGCCGGGGTTGTCTTTTGGCAATGCGGTATTATCCATGAAATCCGAGGTCCACTCGAGCTTAGAGACCGTTGGCAGACTGGCAGGGGGTGCATGGGAATGCACCAAAGGAAGGAGTGCAGGGAGACATTGGCTGGGCATCTTTTGAGGGTAGATAGGCGACCGGTATGTTGAAATTTGAACGAAGGCTAGACAGAATTGAAGATACACAATGGGCCAGAAAGGTATATATAGCATCTATACACGAAACGTCTGAACACTAAATGGAAAAACCGAAACCGAAATCTGAAATTCAAGTACCACCTGTCAAGCGCTGGTGCAGAGCAGACACACCTCTGTGAAAAGGGAAGGAAAAGAAGCAGAGAGGGAGATGTGGGAGGAGAGAATGTAGGAAAAATCAGCTTTAACTATATGTACAGGGGACGAAAAAAGGAAATGAGGAAGGAACAGTGGTATAATATTTCACGGGGGAGCTCATTGTTATTCGGGCCTAGAACGGGAGTATTGAGGACCAGGACATAAAGGACAAAGTATGATGAAATGGATGCGCGGTGTGCCGTACGCCAAGGGGAAGTCGAAACAATAGAAGATGTGGTGTTGAGGTGCACAAGCCTTGCTACCGCTCTCTCAAAGGGGGCGGCGGATTTAGCCGGAGCGCTGGTGTTTGTAGACGAGACGAGGATGTAAGAATGGGTGATAAGTGCATTTAAATAAAAAAGAATAGATTGGATGACTGATGGAAATTATCTGGGGAGAGTTGAATGACGTATAACTAACTGACACAACTGGGGACAGGCTGGACAGGGGAAAATTTAGACTCCCTCCCGCGTGGCTCCGGCCCGAAATCCCCACCCTGTCTCCCAGTAAGCCCAGTGCCAGGGTAACGCCGACTCAGTTTGACCAGAAAAAAAAAAAAAAAAAAAAAAAAAGCCAAATCCATCGCCGGGGGGAAGAGGCGGGTGCTGATGTACTTAATTTGTGTGCCCGATCCCCCATAGTTCATCCGGGTGATATCCCATGCCACCCCCTGGTGGTAGTTACGGAATTGTATAGGGTAAGCAAATTGGCGAAGGAACGAAATCATACTTTTGGTTCTTAATTTCTGTGCTAGGTGGCGCAAGCTACCTCTCGTCATAAAGGGCGCAGCCGTTAGCATCCATCCATCCATTCATTCAGGCTTCACAATCAGACGATCTACACCACTGATCTTTATTGTAGTAGGCTGGATCGCGGATCGGCGAATCGGGAGCCCGCCGGTGGCACCACCGGCGGCCATCGCTTGACACCGGGCCATACACGCGAGTTTGTTGGAGAAACCCACAAAAGTAGGAATATTGAAGCTTGTACGCTGTGCTCAAAGGCGAGTAAATTATGATGTGCTGCGATCATTATAACGGGTGTTTGGAGATCGCATCCGTATTTTTCAAGCGTTCAAACGCCGATTAAAAAATTCAAACATGCTTGAGCCCCCACGACTGAGCTGACAAGCTTGCTCTCGTACTGGAGTAAACAAAGGAACTTGCCGTCAATGAGACCGTCCTCGGGGAAGCCCAGAAGTTTATGAATGTCGAAAATCCTCCATCTTGACAGCGTCTTTCCGGAAGTGAGCGAATTCCGCGTAGCAAAGCTTTTTGAGCTTGTTGTCTGCTAAACCCAACTCATCGAAACCGCCACCGACTCCGTGGTAACTCTAGTTAATTCTTGTCTCATTGAGCTGCACTGCATTTTTTGCCCAGCAGAATCACTCTTGGCCACGAAACCTTTATTTGTAAAAACTGCGAGGGCTGTCAGTTTTAATTCTTGTGCACACGCTATTTGACAGGCTTCCCGAAACGCAGCTCAAACGTGTCAGTGCCGACATCAAATTAGAAACGGGGGAAACGGCACTTGTTCTCGTTTTTCCCATAGAGTTCATGCATTAGCTAGTGTCAAGTGATGGCAGCCGGTGGTGCCACTCGACCACACCAGGACCAGCATCGATCTTCGATTCAACCTACTACAGTAGATATCAGTGATCTACAAACACCAGTGGCAAGATGGCGATCCCCAAAGGTCGAACTTGAAAACGTGTATATAGCAATCGCTAGCTATTCAATTTTTTCTGATACAAGGTGATACGTGCCGTTGAATCCTCCAATGGCGAAGAGAAGGTCATCAAGCACGGCGACGGCGAAGTTGCTTCTGGGCGTGTGCATGTTCGGCAGTTCCAGCCATCGGTCCCTCAGGAAATCGTACTTTTCTCCTGCCAGGAGGCGCGAAAAAAGACGGAACGGCATTGCCTATAGCTACCTATTGCCTAAAAGGATTACGTGTTACATTTCTCTGAAGGCAGATTTACTAGTATACTTCGGTGAACATAGAATCGCATGAAACTTTGCTCATCTGACACCCTTAGAAACGGACGTCAGTACTTCTTTAATTTTGAGACGTAATTTTCATGACAAAACTTACTTTTTACGGGGAAGCACACTTTAATTATGTTTGTAGCACGCTAGACGTTTGGGCTAGTTGATATAATCTGCTGGGAGTAAAATAGAGCTAGAACAACGTTGTAAGGCACTGCTTTGAGTACCCACTTCGTTTGCAAAATCGCACACTTTTACTGCTTATCTCTACGCCAATGAAGCAGTGTGAACACTATCGGTTTTCGGCCGATCGAGGAGGCCACACTTCTACTGCTCTAAACTTATATGCTGCAATTAAATCGGGCAGCAACATTCTGGGAAGAATCGGACGAGAAGTCGGTTGTTCGCTAAAAGATTGAACTTCAAGGGTGCATATGTTCGATTTCGCATTCAAGGTCACTCAATGCAACGTCCACTGGAAGCATGACGCATTACAGAAGGCCTTTTCTTTTTATGAGGTCTTTTCATCCGCCTTTTTTCAATTCGTGCTTTGCTTTGTTGCAGCAATGATACGTTAACTACGGTGTCTGTATTGCGTCTTGGACTGATGCATTAAAAGTGGGCCTCAGTGTGGCAACAAGTCATGTCACAGGAGCAGACGTGTCATGCTGCCGGATGCCGTGGACCTGGTGGAAAGTCATAGACGTTCCGCCAAAAAAAGACAAGCGAACACCAATGTCACTGTCGTCGCAACATACAAACACCTAGCTCCTGAAGATTCCTTGAACTGTCAATCTGAAAGCGAACCACAGCAGAACAGGCGTCTGTTGTATCCGCCTCCGCCGCTCCACTGCCAGAATTGCAGCAGGCAACATGACACTTCTACACTTAATCAAGCGGAAATCGAGAGACAACCTATAAGGATCCGGTAATCAAACCAGTCGGAGACGCACTCAAAGCACCTTAACGCTAACGAATAAGCAAGTAGATTGAGTGCCATGCCCTGGCTGACCTACCAGTTGAAAGCCTGTTAGTGCCGTTGAAGCCACCGAGGACGTAAACCGTGTCCTGGTAGTTGATGACACGCACTCCACTGCGAGGAACCGTCATGGCCCGGATGTAGGTCCAGACGTTGACCTTTGGGTCGTAAAATTCTGCCGTGTTGAGCACTTGCTGACCCGTGAATCCCCCGACGATGTATACCTGAGATGAAACGTAAGCAAAACCTCAAATCAAAGGAGGGGCATTCACCTTGTGTAGTAGAAGGAACACTGGTTGTCTACTCGACTACTAAAAGCCTATATGAAAAAAAAAATTTTTTTTGCAACATTAGGTTTTTTAAACTTAACGTCTTCACTACAACACCTCTTTAATTCGATAGGTTACACTTAAAAGAAAACATCAATAAATTACAATTTTCAGTTCTTCAATGCCCCAATGTTTTGACCTTGTGACCAACAGTGCCACAAGAAACTGAACTTTGGGCAAATGAAGTTTCACTTGACCCTACGTATCACCTCTGTTTAAAGAGAGAGGAAGAGAAAGAGAATTATTGTAAGTTTAAGAAGTTGTTAGTGCGTGTAGAATTAAAAAAAAGATCTTGCGAAGGGGAGGAAGCTGTGCTGATAAGGCGTTAAGAGTTACCGTGACTCATTGGCAAGCGGGCAGGAAGCATACTGGTTAAGAAATTGTTCTTTTGGAATTTGACTAGATTAGGCGTGCCAATTTCAAAAGCGTTATAACTTTTAACGGTCAGAGGAAGGTGTCCTTGAAGGATAGATTACTTGTTGTTCGTGCCTGTTACAATTTTTCTGCAAGCAAAGTACACAAAATGGAGAATCCTACAAGTACCTTATTGTCGACGACGGTGGCGCAAGCGTCGGACCGCTGGTCGTTCATTTCGGCTATGAGAGTCCACGTATTAATGATGGGGTCGTAGCGTTCGGCCGTGTTGGTGCGTCTGTCGCCATCGTAGCCACCCAGCGCGTAGATTTTGCCTTCGAGGACGGCCACGCTGACGTAGCAGCGAGCCACGTGCATGCAGGCTCGTTCCGTCCATCGGTGAAGGAACTGCACCAACACAGCGATACCGCTGCTCTTGAGACTTGCAGAGATCTCTTCCGTGGGCAGAGGGCTACCTGGGATACTACTATAAGTATATTGCTTACGTTAAAATAATCCACGATTCATCCGTACCCAGAGTAGCCCTGTGACCTTTTCAATTGCCACCAATCATGAAAACGAGCCTTTGAGCTATATTGCTCTAGCCTCTGACTAAATGGACCCAGTCAAAGGCTTGTAAGGCTATTCGGATGCTCAACACCACACGAGCCGCCGAAGCCGCCAGTCATATGTACGCAGGGTGGAGTATAAAAATGCAAGATGTTTTAAATCGGGATTTAAATCATGATTAAAATTGTGATTTAAATCAAACCAGTTCTAATTTGATGATTTAAATAAAACCTTTCCCGCAAAAGCAATTTCGAAATTATTTTTATTTACCCGTCGCCTATCATTTGATGCTTTCAATGTGCAGTTGCTTTTTATTTAAATCAAGAATCCCCAAGCAATATTGATTTATATAAAGCTGAACACAAGGAAAACGAAGAGCTTTCTTGACCAGATTGGAGTATTGAGCTTGATTTCTACCTTCCAATTTGTTTGTCAGTTGCGTGACGTCATACTGCAACAAAATCAGAGCGCAAAAGAAACGAAGACTATAAATTAATTTACCTTTGCAATCAAGTCAGAATACGAAAAACAAACAAAAATAAACCATTTACAAAAAAAAAAAATCAAATTATTTTTGTTTTAGTATGGCGAGGATTACACAAATAAAAAATAATTAAGCAGTAATTCTTTCTTCTGCATTGTTATCGGTGATCGGACCAATTGATCACTCATTATGTGATGTTGATATATACATCTAGCCGTGAACAACCACTATTTTCTGGCTGCAATTGTTTTAATCAAATCACTTTGATTTAAATAAAACGAATCTGATATAAATAAAACTAATTTGACTTAAATTAAATAAGTCTGATTTGCTTATTTACTTTAAAAAGGTGTCATTTTTTTTTTACAGTGCGTGTGGGCAGCATTTAACGAAACGAATCAATAGAGCGCGTGGCCCCGCGCAGATACAGTGACTCCAGCGATCACAAGAGTAGCATAATGGTGGAGTCAATATGTTACTCTTGGCTAGAGTAGTGTGATATGCTGGCTGTATACGTCAGTGTAGCTTTATACGCTCCTAAAGCGAGTTATACGCGGTTACTCATGTGAGGCCATGCGCTGCGCTGATCCATTTCGTTTCGATGTGCACTTTACATGAGTGTTTGTGTGTCCTCTAGAACTCAAATGCTCACGTACACACACACAGTGAAAAAAAAAAAAAAACTCACCTTTTTGATGGGAATTAGATATATCAGATCTATATGATTTTGAAACGAATAAATTTTATGTATGTAATTGTGGCTATAAAATATTGATTCATTAGTTTCCGAGCACATGACGGGCAGACCTAGTCAAAGACTAGAAGCCTAGGTTAGTCGGACGTTGAGTAACACACCGGGTTAAAGCAACGGACGCAGTTGAAGCACTGCGAGCCGTCGAAACCGCCGATCATGTAGATGAGCCCGTCGAGGGCGACGAGACCGTGGTAGGCCCGGGGCATGATGTCCCTGTCGTTGGGAAAGATGAGCCACCGGTTGGCCCTGCAGTCGTACGACTCCACCAGGTTCGTCGCGCTCCCGTTGCTCCAGCCTCCGATCACGAACAGGACGTCCCTGAAAAAGGAACAGGTGGGGGCATGCTTACTGGCCATGGGACAGTCATGTTCTGAGAAGACAAACACACGCACAACAAAATGTTCGGAGGGTCGTACAGACGCTTTAAACACACGCGCCAGATTACAGCAGCCATTGCTGACCGTCCGCCGTCTTACCGAGATACCGCGCGACACTGAAACGGACGTTGGCGAGCCTCCACAAAGGCCAGCGATGGGGAGAAGGACACAGCAAAATATGAAATGGCTTTAACTTTACCTGTTATGAGAATGATGGAGAGAAGTAAATGGGATGAGAGGAAACAAAGCCTGAAGGTCGGTTATGGCGGCGCCCATGCACAGCTGCTTAAAATCATCTACACGAACCGTTGGACAGACGGCCCGAATCCGACGAGGCGCCAGCCAATCACCGCGTCAAGGGCGCTCAAATAATGCTTCTTTTTTTTTTTTTTTTTTTTTTTGGGGGGGGGGGGGGGGGGGGTTGCATTCTAGATCTCACTGCGACGTCTCGCTTGCCTTGGGATGCGCGGCCGCAGCATCGGGTGGGACAGGTTGATGAGGCGTGGTCCCTCGTGGAGTTCCAGCTGGTCCAGGAGACCATGGACTGGCTCAAGCGCGGCGCGGCAGTCCACGTCATCGAGCAGCGGATGGGAGAACACCTCTTCTTGCAGGAAGGAAACCTTGCAGAGCCCGAATCTGCATTAGCCATCATTGAAGTCGAGCATTGGTGCATTCACGTACAGTGGACAAGGGACGAAGTCTTTGGCCCGACCCTCAGGAGCTCTGGAATTCGCTAGCGCCTTCTACGTCACTACCAGGATTTTATTCTCCGTGACGTCACGATTTGTAATATCCTGTCTACTTACCATCGTGTGTGTTTGTGTAACGGTGTGAACGACAAGTTCGATGGTGTGTGTAAAAAGCACATTGGAAGCAAGGAGTTATCGTATTCTTGCACCTACACCGTCACCGTTGACAATCTGACATGACTCTTATTACGGTCTATGAAACCAGAATTAATCTATTTTAAGAGGTTATAGTGAGCGTTTGGCTAGTCGGGGAAAGCCGACCAAGGTGACGCTTTTCGTTGCGCACGTCGCCGCTAGTGCTCGGCGGAGATTTCGATCAGACTTGGAAAATAGTCTGTTACTTTTTGAAGTAATGTTTTAATTGCCCCGTCACTTTTTTTTTGCGGCAGTAATTTGTACTGTAATTTCGTTACAAAATATTGGTACCGGATTACTTTCATTATTCGTTAGTTTAAAAAAAATATAAACATAATACGGAAACTAGAGCAATATGAGCAAGCAATTCAGCATCATAAAGATAGCAAGTTCAACAAAATATCAAACATCGTGAAGAGGATATTAACAAAAACACGATTTTTTTTTTGTATGACCAGTCACTAGAACCACTAGAAAAAAGTGCAAGGTATATACAAATATGCGAAAAACAAAGGTTGACAAGACAACGCCGAGCAGGCGTTATCTTCGTCATCTCCTAACAGATGTAGACGCTGTTACTGAGCGTGCGCACCGCTACCATTGTCTGCAGAATTCCTGAGATAATTTCCGATTTCCGTAAGCTAGTGGAATGGCGGGTGAGTGAGTGGAGTGCACCAAGATTATTTCTCTTAGTGTGTTTTATTTTTATAAGAACTTCCATAACATGGACGCAGGAGAAATGGAGGGCAGTGTTGAAGAATATTTGTAAAAACAACAAAATTTTTTCTATTGTTTTCTTGATATGTGTACGGGAAAAGTAATCTGAAAGTAATTTGTAATGTAGCGAGCAAAGTAATCAGTTACTTTTCAGTGAAAGTAATTCGCAACGGTAATCCATTACATTTGAGGCTCAGTTCTAATTGTAATCCATTAGATTTTTTTAAGTAACGGGCACAAGTCTGACTTCAACCAATTACAGGACCTCATTTGATCAGTTCAGCTAGGTTGAGCTGTATCGCGCTCCAGCGATAATGTCTTCGTAAGGGCACTAAGGCGTCCTCCCATTTTACCACTGAGAATACGTGATCAATGGAGCACGGGACTGATTTATCTTTTTGTTGGTCGCACTGCTTAAAGGAAGACCAATTGGTGGGCCCTGTGAACCGCGGTCCAGTGTAGACTCAGGGACCCCCGAGAATGTAACGTAATATTCCACATGGAGTCCCGGTGCTTCCCGGACGATGTCGCTGAGCCACCATATTGAGAGTCCCAAACTGTTTGGCATTATTGTATCCTATATTAGGTTTCGCCTGTTGGTCACTGACGCACTCGAGGGCTCTATAGCAGATTATTGCATCTAGCGTGGAAAACGTGAATAAATGTTGAGAATTAGGATATCATCGTACCTTATCGCGCTGAGAAGGCTTGGTAAGAACCGGTGCCTCGTCGCGACGTCAGCCTCGGTCCATTTGATGACGGCGCTGAAAGCCTTGCCTTCGTCGGCCAGATTTAGCTCGTCCGAGCTGAGAAGGGCCTTCAAGTCGTCGAACGAGATACGCACGAACTCCTGGCACATTTTGGATACCTGCATTCAATAAAGCCCGCCCTATGACGAAACGAAGAGCTTCGCGAGTCGTGCGTTAAATTAATGCAGTGTAGAAATAGGCGAAGACGAAAGGCACGCTACTGAAATCAGACGAGCTGGCTTCTTTCTGTTCGATTCAAACTCCTGAGGCTAAAGTTAAGTAGGAAAGAACAGAAAGCCCAGCATAAGACCTCAAGTCTTTGCAAATATTTGCGTTGCTTTTTACACAGAATTTTAATTTAACGATTAATGACTGTTGCTCTGTTTTTAGGTACCGGTTGCTTTAGTTAGGAACACAGGAGCAAAAAAAAAAAAAAAATGAGTGATAAAACTTAGATTATGAAAGCGAAATCCTTATATTTTGGAAGCAAGACGGAGGGATTAAACGTTTCGCCACATTAACTTGCCTGATTTAGAGGTCAGTGTTTACGGGTGCAGATGTTATTGAACATTATTGAAAAAGGGTCTGTTCCAAAAATTTCTTTCTCACTTGTGCTTCGCGTATGCCGAAGGACTTAGGCGTATGTCGAACAAACTAGTTATGTAAGCAGCTTTTCTCGTGCTTTATGTTTATTCATGCACGTAATTATTATTACAATGAGACTCTCAAGAACATAACTTAGTCTGTTCCACACAAACGATTTTTAGCACTTTTGTAGTAGGAGCAGGAGTGAACGTTATTAACTTGCTTGTTGGTTTTGGTCATTTTACATGATTTTTAAACATAATGTCAGAGCAACATTTAATAAGAGTAGGTGGAGCGTACGATCAGCACTACCGTAATGAAAGCCGCAAAATATTCCTCTTTAATTTTTCTCAATAAACCTATCAGAACTTATACAAATTATATCAGGCATATGTAAGTTCTTATACAACCCTATTTATCTTATATGCTTATTGAAGACATGCATATATGAATGTCTTCCATAAAAATATATATATATTTTTTTTTATGGCAGGAAATAATTTTTATACTAAAAAGACGTAATCCAATATTAAAGAATATTTCTCGTTGTTGGGCGAGTATTTGCTGAACTTGAGAATATATGGTGGCACTCGAAGACAAAGACAAGGAGTTGTATAAACAGTTGAAAGTTAGCGCACTGTGGTATCCCGTTCTCCTCGTTTTGTTCTTGTCTTGCAGCATTATGTATTTGAAACCCCAGGTCACAATCACGAAGCTACAGAATTCTCGTCACTGTCCTCTGTATCATATATTTCCTACAGGACAGACCTCAACGAAGTTCCTGGAGACGAAAGTGACGGCCATGTCCACCAAACAAGCGTGTTTGTTCTCCCTGGCGAACTCCAAAATGCGAATGCAATTGGCTACGCTGATGTCTCGGGACAGGAACTCGTGGCACTTTTGGACGATCCGATCCATCTGCAGAATAAAAAAAAAATAAAAAAAATGGCTCTCATGAATCACGGGTGACTGATCAGGTACAAAGGCATTTTAGGATCGCGAACTCACTTGAAATAACTCAAACTCACTCATTCGAATTTGCTAGAACTCACTCAGGGCTTCTCAAACTCAAAACCAGCTCAACGCCAAAGACCTTAAAACTGACATTCTCTCATCGTCGAACCGTAAGTTGTTTGAGCGACCCGGGAAAAATATTGACCCATAGCAACACGAGCTCGAAAGAATGTCATGGCTACAGGATGTCGCTTGGGACACCAAATCCTAAAGCACTGGAGAGGTAGAGTTTATAACATGAAAAAGATGGCCGCCATGCACTCCGCGACTTACAGCTAGTGTGAACGCGCTTATATTTTTGCATTTTCCCAGTCCAGTTCAGCGTCGAGTATTATGCATGGCTTGATCTGCTCAATGGTGGTGTTTATTCCGAACTGGCCGCCGCAGGCTCGTAACCGCTGACGCTAATACTGCCCCGGCGACAGCCTGTCTTCTTCCTCCTCGTAGCACATGTGATGTCATCACACCATGCTGGTGGTCAATCCTACTTGTCCTTGCCGAGACGAAAAATCCACTACTGCAAAATATATGCCTGAGAAGTTGTATAGCTACCTACTAGACCACTGCAACTGCAAGTCATGGAACTGCGAACCATCAATGCAAGTCATGTATAAGTTGCAGACGAAGTTATTTCCCCGTACGCGGGCATTTCACCAGAATGGGTGGTAACTGAGTAGACAGCATTTCGAGCGCGTCCTTCACAGTTCATACGCAGGGCGTGCTGCCACTTATCATGTGACAAGAACTACAACCTCTACGCTGAAATGCGCGTCTTTGAAATCTTCTGGAAGCTCGCCTTCAGCATCAGCGAACTCAGCGATGGCCGATATACATGGCTTTGGCTTGCACTGGCGTCACATCAGCGGCCATTGTGGCGGTTCCTCAGCTGAGCTCGTAGACAACGTACATTACGCATCACCAATTTTGTTTTCTGACGTCATCGCGTATTATTGACGTCACTGCCAATAATACGTGATGACGTCAGGCGAAAGTCATGTAGAAAATTCTTGATGACTATCTTTCAGTCGCGAACTGAAGCACGAAGAAAATCGAGGAATCACGTTTTCTCGCTGAACCTAGTCGCTCTCTGCACACTCAGACCACAGGCCGAGGTCCTTGACGAGCGTCCGGCCACATCTCACCTGGAACCTCTGCGCAGCAAGCAGCATGTCGAGCACATTTTCGCTGCTCAAGGCCACTTTGTTGGTGTAGACGAACTGCAGCAGAGCCGCCATGATGGGGCCGCGGATGTTGTCCACGGGGTAGGCGGCACACGGCGACGACGTGGCATCCTCGGTGGCAGCAACAGCGGTGACGCCGGCGGCTAGGGCGGACGGCGACTCGCGAAACAGCGGGCACGCTGCATGCAGCAGTGCCCTGTGCACGGAAAACCGGGCCCCATCCTCGGTGCAGAGCACCTCGGCGTCGGTGAGTACCTTCCGACGGCGGAGGTCATCGAGCACGCTGATCATGCCTTGCGAGTACACGTCGGCCATCCCATCCAAGCGCTCACGCCCGCTGCTGCTAGGAGCCCAGCGACATTTCACCGCGGAACTCGCCGCCCGATCGACATCACAGCGGACTCGGTCCGGTCAACGCTCGCGCTGGGGGCCCCCTGTTGTTCTGGACCCTCCTTGAACCGGGCTCCTTCTTCTTCGTCTTTGCCTTTGCTGCTGCCGCGGGGGACTTCGACTGCCCAAATTACAGAGTATTTCCAACTGCTGGACCGGCATCACGTGTTTGCGAACCGTGTTTGCACTACAAGCGGCAAAGAGGAGACGAGAGCGTTAGTCGTCGGCGAACGTATTTACCCTTCTGTTTGCTTTCCTCAACTCCACGCGAAAACGCAATACATGAGCACTAGCAATTAATCCGCCGCACTGTTGGCGTCCACCATAAAACTGCAAACGCTCTCCATGGTTCGAGTCGCTTTCTTTAAATGTCGTTTCTCTATAGGGAGACTAACGGCTCTGGGGAGACTGCCTTGGTGGCGCCCTCTTGGGCTTCCTGCAATCCCGCGACGTCAAGACGAGGTTTTGTCTGAATATTTTTGGTCCCGAATGTCCGTCATGAGTTTCGAACGGAAATTTTGAGGGTCTGAGTACAAAGCACACACCCCAAATATCAATAACAACATACTTTGACTATTTTTCATAGTTATATTAGAACATAATCTTATTCACGTTCTGGAGGCTTGAATGTATTCCGGAAAAAACTCTTAAGTCGGGGTCACACTGCTTATACGTCATACGAAAGTAAGCCGGCAAACATCAGTCACCGCTATATCCGTGCTTCGAATGCCTTGTGCCAAGTTTGACCTCGAACTGGCTGCCATTCGGCATTCGAAGCGCGGATCTCATGGTGACTCGCGTTCGAATCTGTATGCAGACGGTATTTTTTGTGATGTATAGCCAGTGTGAAACCGGCTTTACGCTTTACATAACGCTTCCTTTGAAGTCGCGAGAGCGGCTTGTCCAGTTAGCATTGTAAAGGACTTAGTCTTCGCGATGACATAACATTCGCGAGTTTCACGATTTCAAAAATTATCACGAAAGCTTGAAATTGATCTCGTAAATCGTAATCTCGTGATTATTATATCCCATAGTGACGGGTGCATAGCATGTAACAATCCTAATCGCCGAGTGTTTTACCCGCGGAATATTTCTCAAACCCACACTCCAACAAATTAGCAAAATACTGTGCCTGCGAAAACGCGCATAAGCGGGAGGAAGAAGTCGTAAGATTCACTACAGAAAATATGTGAGACATCAAACGTGGCCAAAAATCGGTACAAACGGCATACTAAAAAAAGAAAGAAAAAAAAAGACATTTGGAGGTGACAGGAGTTGACCCGATGACCTTGACACCGATTCAAAAGTTAGGCAAAGTTGAATCCGAACACGCCCGCCGAAATAGGCGAAATAGATTCGACAGCTGTAATTTCTTATTCAAGGCGCTGGAAAAGTGCAAAAGAAGGACTAGGTCCGGATGTATGGACTGGGCTACCCCATGGCGCCCACTCACAGGTGCGACCCCACTACTGCAGGACGCGGGAGCTTTTGCCTGCTGCGTTTCCGCCCTGGGCCGGTTCGTTCCTCCTTAGGCGACCTGGTCACCCCGGGGTCACCCGGGGTCACCATATCGACGCCCAGCTTAGCGCGGACACCCGATCAACATAGGTCGCCAAGGGACAGAATTCCCAGCCTCAACCCGTCCGTCTAGCCCAGGCCTCCAAGCAGCTGGATTACAGGGGCACGCCACAACCCCCGGCCGGTGTTTCGCTCAACGCAAGCGGCTTTTCTGCCTACTCACAACGGTACACTCTGTGGGAACGATGAATATTCGGTCACAACTATAAAAAAATGCTATAGAATAAACAATCCCGGTTCCTTGCTGTGCCCGACAAATGAACTGCAGTAGCAGTTGAGACGCTCTGCCCTGCTCCACACAATTACACTACCGTGTTTAAATTTAGCGGGCTTACGTCCCGCTAAATTTAGCGGACGGTGATCACTGACATTACGTCACGTGACGTATTGACTTCACGTGACTCTGTAACGTCACGTGACTTTGTGACAACATGTGGCACCACGACGTCACGCGATACTAAAGTTCCGCTAAAGTTACTGAATAAATTAGCCCGTTAAATTTTGCAAAAAAAAATGTTTCGGTTCATTTTATTCTAAAAATTTCTCCGGTGCATTTAGTGTGTAATTCTGATGACATCTGACATGACGCCACGAGGAACTGTTACGTCACAACGACATGACGCTGCGTTTTTCGCTAAATCTAGTGGAAAAAATTCCCGCTTAGTTTAGCGAGCCACAAAGTACGTAAATGAAATTCACGGTAAATCCGCTCCCAAACCTCGCCTTTCACAACTATCGTCGTAAAATCAGGCTTGGGAACCCAAGAAGGGGAGAGGGCAAGGCGGGCAACGACTGTGAAGTGTGGATTTTTCGGTCGAACACCTATGGTTCTTGCTTTGAAAGCTGAATACTTTGTGATACTTTCAATTCTGGGAATGAACCCAATTGAAAAGATTATTTTTAGAGCGCAGCTCTTAGGGGCCCGTTCCCGGCTTGAGCGGCGTCGCCGTCGCCGTCGCCGTCGCCGTCGGCGTCGCCGTCGGCGTAACCAAGGTCATCCCAAGGTCACGTGACCCCCAAGGTCACGTGACCCCCAAGGTCACGTGACCCCTCCAGGTCACGTGACCCCTCCCAAGGTCATCTCAAGGTCACGTGACCCCACGTGACTCCCAAGCTCACGTGACCTCTCGAGGTCACGTGACCCCTCCCAAGGTCATCTCAAGGTCACGTGACCCCAAGACCCCACGTGACCCTTTGAAGGTCACGTGACCCCCGTCACGTGACCCCTCTGAGGTCACGTGACCCCCGAGGTCACGTGGTCTCCTCCCCAAGGTCACGTGACCCCCAAGGTCACGTGACCCCAAGGTGACCCCCACGTGACCCCCAGGTCACGTGGGGGTCACATGACCCCCCGAGGTCACGTGACCCCCCCTCCCCGAAGTCACGTGACACCCCCCCCCCCCCGAGGTCACGTGAACGCCCCCCCGGAGCATATTAAAAAATGAGGGGAGGAGGAGGGGTCTACCCTCCCCTCATTACCCTTCACTCCTCCTCCTCAAGAGCTGCGCTCCAATTCGGCGTTACAGGGATTTGTAAACGGCTTTCACTTTTTTTCGCTTTTAAATAACACTTTTTTTTCTAGCCTTGCTTGTTAGTTGTGTAATCTAGACTATACATAACTGTTAAGTACATATTTGTAAACTGACCACCTTTATTATTTTAATTTTCTACAGCGGAGCTGTTGAGGGCTAGTTGCCCCAGTTTCGTGTCCGTGGACAAATAAATCTCGGCACAACCCTCTGGACAGCTACCGCCATCTATGAGCGACAGTTGCAACCAGACAACCGGCGTGTCGGTTGTCTGGTTGCCGCCGTCTCTTATAGATGGCGACACATAGTACAGCTTTGCTGCTCTTCCTCTTTCACCAGATTGGAAAGGCTAGAAGTTTTTTTTTGTTTTTTTTTTTTTTTGTAAACGGAGTATTTTGCCATGAGTTTAATGTCGTGCATTTTTTTTTAGGAAACACGGTGACATATTTCTGTTTTAAATATTTTAAATACTTTGTTTTCCTTACTACTAACACTCATACAGTCTTGACATGGTACGTGTTGTTGAAAATATGAGGTGAATCTCAGCTTTTAGGACATTCTTAAAACACCGGAAAATGAGTAACAAAACACACTGGGTAATTCAGAAGAATCTATCGACCTACTGAGAACAGTGTTTATTATGCAGTCTCGTTTTAAACTGTTTTTTTTTTAATGGTGTTTTTCATTTGTTTCTGGAACTTTGGTTTTTGTGAAAAAAAAATGAAGGTGTCGTCAAAAGGAATAATTATTGGACAAAATACTTTGAAAAGGGTAGCTTTACATCACCAATAACACATACACTTTTTGTGGACCGAGTGTGTGAGGATCGAATTTAGGCTGGGATTGTTTGGCGTGCAATGACCGAGTTGGTATTGTAAACTCCTTAGTTTTGTGGAGGACATAATTTTCGCGAATTTCACGTCTTAAAAACAACTACAACAAAAACTCAATATAGCAAATAAAAATTGATCTCTTGAATCGTAATCTTTCGATTAATTTATCTTATGGTGGTGACAGATACCACTCCAAATCGCGAAATGTTGTGCCCCGCGGAGTATTCCCAAAACAACACAACCCCATAAAATATGGAGCGAAAACTTCGCAAAATATCGAGCTCGCGAAAAATGGCATAAACTGGGCAAGTCATAAAATGGACAACAGGAAATATGTGAGACATAAAATGGAACCAAATGTCGATAACGACGACAAACAAAAAACGTTTTGGGGACGACCGGAGTCGATCCCATGACGTTGAGTTCTATTCAAAAGTTAGGCTTCGTTGAATCCGAACTCGCTCGCCGAAATGGGCTTATTTCGCTCCCGGAAAAAGAATTCGGCCGCTGTAATTTCTTTTTCAAGGCGCTGGGAAGGTGCAAAAGAAGGACTAGGTCCGGATGTGTCGACTGGGCTGCCCCATGCCGCCCACTCACAGGTGCGACCCCACTACTGCAGGACGCGGGAGCTTTTGTCTCCTGCGTTTCCGCCCTGGGCCGATTCGCTCCTCCTTAGGTGACCTGGTCGCCCCGGGGTCACCTGGGGTCACCATATCGACGCCCAGCTTAGCGCGGACACCCGATCAACATAGGTCGCCAAGGGGCAGAGCTCCCAGCCTCAACCCGTCCTCCAGTCCAGGCCTCCAGGCAGCTGGATTACAGGGGCACGCCACAACCCCCGGCTGGTATTTCGCTCAACGCGAGCGGCTTTTCTGCCTACTCACAACGGTACACTCTGTGGGAACGGGGTGTATTTCGCTCACCGACTATAAAAAAGACAAAAAAAAAACAATAGAATAAACAATCCCGGTTCCTTGCTGTGCCCGACAAATGAACTGCGGCAGCAGCTGAGACGCTCTGCCCTTCTTCACACAGTTACACTACCGTGTTTAAAT